GGCGAACAGAAAGGACACTTTGCAGACAGAATAAAAAGGGGAATATCGAGGAAGAGTCGTCTGAACGCGGGGAGGGAGCGGAATCGATGGTGGAGACAATTTGTGCTCGCATCACTGTTTTTTGTTCCGTTCCGTTCATTGGAAAAAGTTAACTTTATAACTTCATGGCAGCCTGCTCGGAAGACAAATTATGGGGAGCTAATTTGCTCGGGGATAGATATGGTTGGATTTTAGAATAATCGTGATTGTTGTAGTCGTGTTATGCGAAGAAGTCGATGCTTAGTGATTGTTAACGCTGGAATTATCGAATGGGTCAAAAATGACCCATTTCGTGTCATTTTTTCATTGCATAGTTAACTTTAGCTTTTCAGTGATAGTACTATAGTACGATGCTTTATCATTGTTAATGCTAGAATTACCGGATGGGTCAGAAATGACCCATTTTGTGTCAGTTTTTCATTGCATAGTTAACTTTAGCTTTTCAGTGATGGTACAGATGGATTGCTGAGATTTTTCTCGTGAAAATGAGTACAAACACGATGGGGATCCGACTATTTTTATGGTTTCATGGAAACGAGACTTTAATTTTGATAATTATGTTGAATCGGTGAAAATAGTCGGATCTCTATCGTGTTTAGACTCATTTTAATCAGCAGAATCTCAGCAATTCAATAGTATTATATTTGAGATAATTAAAATATTGTTGCGTTTTAAAGGTTATTGTGTAAATTGGAGATGGTGTTTGGATATTTAAATGTAGTGTGAAAAAATGGCACAAAAATTACATATGATAAATAAATAATTGTATATAAAATAATACAATAATTGTTGGGAAAGATTAATTGATAGACTTAATTAAAATCAATAGAGAATTAATTAAAATAAAGTAGATATTGTATTGACATAAAACAAGAAACTTATAGAAAATAATAAATTGTTTGAAGTATTCAAAAGAAGTTTCCAAAAAAATATATACACAGATTAAAAATCACAAACATTCTTTTGTATGAAAGGGAACTTAATTTCTACAGACTCGTCAATTTTCATTACTGTTACCATCATTTCAGACAAGCAGAACGAATTTTGTCGTTTTGAAATGAAAAGTGTATAATTGAAAATTAATAAAAGTATAATTGCTTACAGGTTAAATGAATAGTAAGCAATGTCTTAAAATGCTTGATATAAAAATAATAAATAAATAAATACATACCATCAGTTGCTGGGAACCTGGCACTCGTGACGTCATATGGGCGGAGACAGTCGCTCTCCCCACTCTTCACCGCGCGACGCGATTGGTGTGCGTCAGCGCCTCAGCCAATCAGGCGTGCGTTCTTGAAGCTGACCACTCAGACGAGAGTGCCAAGTTCGCTGCAACGGACGGTACATGCTGCGAATATTCTAGAAAATAATTATATTTTACAACAGAGAATTTCAGGAGTGTACTTTTTGCAAGATATCTAAATTTTAATAATATTGAATGTTGTTGCAAAAATTTTAGCGGTGTGCATATAATATCTGAGTAAATAAATTAAAATATAAATATCAGGAGTGAAATAAAAATAGTGGAATTTTTGCAAACAACTATAAATATCATTTACCAAACATAAATTCACATAGTAACAAATTAAGCTCGTAAGAATTGAAGAAAAATAAGGCCTCTGTATAAATTGTTCTTCCCAGTAAATTTATTTCTAAAGTAACCATACAATCTTTCATATCAGAAAATTTCTAACATAGTTTTACAAACTTAATCAAGAATAAAACAGAAAAATGTTATAAAAAAATAAAACCATCCAAAATAATTGCAATCGTTGAACGTAATCAAATTAATGACAAATGCCTCGTATCTACAGTTTGTTAGGAAATACACTTTCGATACTACCTCTTTTTTTAAACAAAAGAAAATTTATTAATACAATTCGAGTCCATTCTACGAAGTACTAAAATAAAATATTAATATTAATATAAAAAATTTAAGATCGCTGGAGACTGATCCCACGCGAATAAAAATTAATCAATAATGCTACAATTGTTTATTGTTTAAAACGTTGTTTCCAAGCGGATTCACTCCGAATATTTGGGTTACTGCTGACAGAGTGCATTGAAATTTAAATAAAAAGTGTTAGCCCACGGTTTTCGCTTCTTCTCGTGTGTCAAATAACTTCCTGCCTATCCTAGCTTCTGCATTTAGTCACGAATTAGCCAGGTGGCGCGTGCTCGACAAATATTCTCGCTCGATTTCCCCGGGAGCCGGATGTCAACTAAAAAATGTTATTCTATGTTTTGGATTCACCGTTATATTATTCGTGACTGAACCATCAGCTGCAGGACGCCCTGGCATGACAAAAGTAATCTGATGGAAGAAAAAGGGTAAATATAAAAAAGCTATGGACCGAATGTTATTTGCAATGTTGACAGTGGAACCACCGATCAATTGAATTGACTCTATAAATAATATAGATCATATAAATTATTATTTAACTATAAATTATATAATAAAATTCTGTATAAATATAATTATGTAAGTATATTAAAAATTTCTATGTAAATAATTATGTAGTTACGAAATGAAGTATTATACAAACATAATTATATAAGTGTATAGGAAATGTCTATATAAATATAGTTATGTAATTATATTTTTAGTTTCTGCATGAATAATTATATAATTATATAACTATATAATAAATGTCTATATAAATATAGTTATGTAATTATATAATAAATTTCTATATAAATAGTTATATAATTTCATAATGAAGTTCTATATAAACATAATTATATAACTATATAATAAATGTCTATATAAATATAGTTATGTAATTATATAATAAATTTCTGTATGAATAATTATATAGTTACATAATGAAGTTCTATACAAACATAATTATATAACTATATAATAACTGTCTATACAAATATAATTACATAATTATATAATACTTTTTTATAAACATAATTACACAGCTATATAATAAATGTCTATATAAAAACTACAAGGCTTCATTTATTAAGATTTCAGTTTCCCCATAACCGAATTCGTTTCGTTAATAATTTTTCACAGGTGCCTGTGCCTTTTCAATAATTGTAACAGAAGAAATTAGAAACAGGTCGTTTCGACCCATCCGGTTATTCTAGTGTTGAATAAAAAAAAGATGAAAGTAACAGCACTGGGGATCTCTCTATCGATTGTGACTCTCGATAAGCCATTGCTGGGTTAGATACTATTGACCTATTTCTTACATGTGTTTCTTGTACGGACAATCGATACTACACCGTAGGAATTCTTCCCAACTCGACTAGAGTCTTTTAATGTGTAAATTCTGCAGGGAGAAGAAAAATTGTTCATCTTATTTATCTCTTCTTGATATATTTCCTTTCTTTTTAAGGATTTGGTGCTGATATAATTTAAAAAATATGTTGGGGATGTAATAAAATACAGTTTGGATGGAGAATATAATTTTAAAACGTATACTAGATTTTTTTATAAATAATACCAGTCACAGAAAATATATTTGCCTATGGTATTTATTATAGTTGTTCTACAGGGTGGTCCATTTTAGTAATTCTTAGCAAATATCTTGAGAGGTATGGAAGACATGAGAAAGAATGTTCTGGAGAAAATTTGCATGAAATATTGGGGATGGATGTTTAAATATTCTTCAAATATATTTCTGATTAATTTAGATACCTTTGTAGTAATTTAATTTTATGCAACCCTCTGTCAAGTGTGACATTAAATATAATAGAATTTATTATAAATATAAATACGATATAATATAATAAATATAAATATAATGTAATATAATAAATATAATATAATATAATATGATATAATATAATATAATATAATATAACATGATATAATATAATATAATAAATTTTATTATATTTATTACATTACATTTAGAATTTATATTATTAATATTAAAAATTATTTAGACTGCTTTCTATCAACTGTTCTCTAAGGAACATTTAAAACAAAAAACATAAGATAATTATTTTATTTTTTTAAAACTGAATATAAATAAAATTCTTACTACAAATGATTTTTTAAGAAAATACGTGTGTACTTCTTAATCATACTCTTGTACGTATATACTTGAAATTAAAACTGTTTAAAAGCACAGTATACTTTTGCTTCATACCTTAATGTTTCTCAAGATATTAAATTTCAAACCTGACGTATCTCCAGGATATGAATTACACAGTGTACACGTATAGAGTGCGAGATGGTTATGTAATTGGGTTTTATATATTTTACTAGGCTTGAAATGAATCGAGTCATTATTCTTGCAATGAGCACTGACTCCATACTTCAAAATAATTAACGTAGAATCCCTTGATTGCTTATGTTAATATAAATTTATTTTATCAGGAATATATGTTGGATATTGTAAAAAATTAAAAAAAAATATTTTTAGAACACTGCTTATTTTTTTTGTCTTTTGATCTATTGATACATAGGTAAATTTATTAACAATATTTTTTTTTAATTTTTTACAATATCCAACAGAATTTTTATTGTATGAAAAAAATACAGTAATATGCAGACTTCAAGAAATCAATATTTTCTTTTCAATATTTGTAGATTGATAGTTTTGAAATATTATAAAGCAAGCTCGAAAAACTGAGTTTCATCATTTTGAAGAAAACGATCTATATAGCTCAGTGGCTCGGGAAAAAGTTCAACATATATTTCTTAAGATTACTTCCCTTTCTACGGTAACTCTGCAAACTCGAGCTATATTCGACTAATTGACTTCGAATTTTTCACGCGGAATCCCAGGAAGATTGCACGTCTGTTAACGAAGCTATTCCTTAATTAGATCCTTCATGTTTTTTATTGCAAAAAGGTAAAATGAATATTCATTGAAAAAGTTTAATATTCCTTTTCATGTGACATTAGTTTATATTTTTTAATATCTTTAAAGTAACTCTAATAAGAGGTTTATTAATTAGAGGTTCGCTAATTGTGGTGAAAAAATAAAATTGTATTTTTATAATTCATAACATTCATGCAAAATATTTTTCTATATCTTCCATATGTTCCAACATGCAAAATTAAAATGGGACACCCTGTAGATGAACCTGATAATAATTTCAAAATAATTTTAAGGAAAATATTAATTCTACCATTGTATGTTGACCACACAGTAAACAAGATTGGAATTTATCTTCCTGAATATTCGTTGTCGTTATTTTTAATGAAATATATGAAAGGAATATTTTTTAAGGAACACGATTATTTCCTTTAACGTATTTCCTTTTGTCCCAGAAAACTCCATTTACACCTTCAATTGCGCGACAGAATAAACAATAATAGTATGTATGACGAGCGACTGGGCGTCTGTCTCCCACGTTGCTGTTAAATAATCAATAAGCAAAGCATTGAATTGAAACTTCACGCTAGCTACTCTTTTAAATATCAAATGAACATTTAATCTAAATAAATAAATTGAATTTGTAAGTTTAATACATACAGCGATGCTCTCTTAAATCCCAAGCCAGGCACAGGGAAAGAATACAATGAGCAGAAATGACGCAATCGGTCGAGCACTGAGTAAACATGCAATGAAGAAAATTTCAGTTGCAATAATGTTGATCTTACCTTCTCAATCACAGTACCAATGGAATGTCGAGATTCTGCCCGTTAAAATAAGTCCAAACACGACATAAATCGGTCTAGTTTCATCAATTTCATGAAAACCAGCCTTTAGTTTCGAAAATTACATTGAATTTGTCAAAGTAGTCCGATTCCCACCGTGTTTGGGCTCATTTTAATCGGGACTATCTCAACAATCCACTGACACTACGCTTGAGAAGGTAACATTAAAATTCCTGAAATAGACATTTTTTCACTGCATATTTACGTTTGACACTTGCGACGTGGCTTTAAGGTCCCGCGCCTCGATCCTCGGCGCACGACGGACTGTCTATCTCGCTTCCACTCACTGTATGCACTCGCTGCCTTTGTCAGGCTGTGCTCGAGTCAATTCCTGGAAACAAATAGCTCCTCCTGCTTTTTCTGCTGCGTTATATTCCACTGTTGCAACCCGAAATTGTGGAATTTAACACGTTCATTGCCACCAGAATTTTAGGCATTCCATTTAATATTGCTTACTCTTTTATAACAGTGACAAACCTTATAGTAACCCATTCGCTGCTATCATAAAATCTGCGACTTCATTTGTATTTTGAATTTCTTTTAATTTATATTAAGATGCATTTCAAATACAACTAAGATACTCGAGTTGGCAAGACTGAACGTTTCTCTTTCTATAAGCATTATATATATGTCTCTGATTGCCAGCAAATGGATTCAGCGAGCGTTACTGTGTATTTAATAAATAAATCTGTTTAAATTATGTTATTAATAAATCCGTTGAAATCAAGTAATCAATAAATCCATCGAAATCAAATAATAAATAAATCCATTTGGATCAAGTAATAGACAATTATGAATTGAAATTAAGTAACAAACAATTACGAATTGAAACCAAGTAATAAACAATTACTACTTGAAATCAAGTACTAAACAATTGCGAATTTAAATCAGTTAACAAACAATTACGAATTGAAATCAATTAACAAACAATTCTGCATTGAAATCAATTAACAAACAATTCCGAATTGAAATCAATTAACAAACAATTCCGAATAGAAACTAAGTACCAAATAAATCCAATTCCAATCAACAAACAACGTCTCCAACCAAACCACCAACCAAATCCATCCAAACGAGCCACAATAGCCCACGTACTCTCGTTTCGGTTTCACCGAACCGACTCGACCCCGTCAACGATCGAATTGAACAAGTCCTCGAAAGACCCACGTGCTCGAGCCAGAAGGAAGCGACACACGGGCAGAATCGGCGTAAAGCGTTCGGCGCGCGCACAGGTTCGATTGGCGGTTAAACCGGAGACCGTCGGCGCGGTCTCTGTCGCGACGTTACGGCGTTATACAATATGTTACACTGAAAGCGATAGTCGTTGCACTTTGTGATTTGACCCTTTCCACGTCCTCCACGTCCCGTGCATGCTCGTTGCTCCGTAGAAATTCTCAATTTTCTCTATTCGTTCGTCTTCTTGGACACTGCGCTACACTGACTTGGCACGCGTAATTATTATTATTTTATTTATCCCCCTTACGTTTCCTCTCTTCTTTTTTTGGTTTCTTTAATACGACACTAACTACTCAGTCAATTTTCTGTTATCGTGTTTTGTGTTTTATGTTTGTGTGTGTTTGTGTTTGTGGGAGGACATCTTGTGAGCTGTGTACTTTCCTCTGCGTACACGTCTGTGCGTAACGTGTCGTGTCTAACTTCGTTCGGTTTCTCAGTTTGCTTTTAATCGAGTCCGTAATTACAGGTCGAGCGACGTCGAAGGCGTTTCGTTTCCGGTTCCGCTTATCGTGTGATCGACACCAGGACCATTGCTATTATCAGCAGCACTCCTGTCGTTGTGATGGCGGCGGATGAGTCTGCAATTAGAAGAAACGAGTATGTTGAGAATTAGAGTTTAATTTGATGAATAATAATTAATAATAAATTTAGATTAATAATAAAAAGCTATTTAATTTTTTAAATAATGGAAGGTGAGTAGAATTAAATGTAAATATATTTGGGTGATTGTTTATTCAGTGGAAAATGTTGTGGAAATTGTTCTTTAGATTTAAATTTTAGAAATTAATTGTTGGTAGTGATTATCGATAAATTGCTTTGGATAATTGTTTATTGAGGAATTTGTTGTTCATGGATAGCTTTTGTATGAGAGTATTTTATTTATTTATTAACTGTGCTTTCTGGAGGATAACATTGTTTTTGTTTCATTGGTTCTTGTATTTATGTAATAAATTTATTTTATTTAAAGTTTGCATTGGTTATAATGTTTAGTGGAGAATGTTAGGCATAAAATAAAAATGGCAAATGATTTAGAAGAGTACTATTATTCGAAGAATAGTAAAATTATTTTTTTTTTGTTGTTTCTTGGATTTATTTAATAAATTTATTTTATTTAAAGTTTGCATTGGCCATAATATTTAGTGGAAAATGTTAGGAATGAAATAAATATGGCAAATGATTTAAAAGAGGTCTATTGTTTGAAGAAATATTTTATTTATATGATTATAAATAAAATGGAGACTAGGAATTGCATTATATTTGAATAATAGTTGAAACACTTGAGATTTTCAGAGGAAATATTCAAACAATTTCAGTTTAAAGTACAAACAGTTTTGTTTGGAAGTTCAGGCAGCGGTTCTGCTATGAGTGTTAAGTGAGAGTTCGTAGTACGAAAGTTTGTTCAGTTCGAAGTCTGGAAGTACAATTAATTCTAATGGTTCTAACAAGGAACAACGTCGAAGTGTCTAACGTCGATTGCGATGAAACTTTGCATATCTGAGGATTAGCTGAAGCAAGATATATGTATTCTTATAACGGTGGATCATCTCTTAAAATATTCACATTTGTTAATTAATTCTGAAAAACATTCAATGTATTGAAACATTCCAGTGGCTTTATAAAAAATAACGAAACTTTGGAAATAAATATTTAATTTACTTTTCAGTATTAAATCATTCAATATGAAATTGTTTTCTTATTCATACAAATTGTTGCTTTTGTGTCCCTCGTAATTCAATTTTACTAAATTTATAGGTTATAATTGAAAATTTTTTATTAATACTACTGTATTCATGCAATGTAATCGAATTGCAATAGGTCCTATTACTAATTCCAAATTTCATTGAAACACAAAATTGACATACAAATGAAATTTCAGTGTTGATAAAATACCACGAACTATTTAACTATAGAAAGCAAGAATTGAAACTTCTTTATCCAACAATATAAAAAACTCAAAATATATCACCAAACACCCCCATCCCCCAACACCCTTCAAACAAAGTCCAATGTCAAACCAAACCTGACTCCACACCCCCAAAACCCAAACCCCAGT